CATATCTTGTCCGTGTAATGACTGATTTCTTTGGTTTTATATGAAAATAAAAGAAAAGTAAAGAATAAAAACAAAGAAAGACCGATGTTTGCGGCTCAAGGATTTTGGAAATTCCTATATTTCCCCGCATAGTTTGGTAACAAGGCCATAATATTATTGATTTATATCAGTAAGTAAACATATGAGGTCATATAAACATTCATGTAAATAGCATCTCAATTGCCGACATACAAAGAAAACTAAAGTAACTTACACTCATATGGGTTAATCCATGAATAATCCAGCTGATAAACACAGGCGTAATAGAAGATAATACACAAACACTAGAGGGTATTTTCACACTAGTGTGCGCACAGCGTTTTGAACACAATAGCAAACATTTAGATGATGTCCACATAGATCCTGTGAGGAAAAAAAAAGGAAGCGTCATAAAATCCTCAAGTGTTTTTCCAAATATCCAATCAGGGTATAGAAACCCACATAGATCCTATGAGGAAAAAAAGGAAGCATCATAAAATCCTCAAGTGTCATATGAGGAGAAAAAGGAAGCGTCATAGAATCCTCAAGTGTTTTAGGTATATCCAATCAGGACATGGAGACCAAAATCAAAAAGTTAGTCCTAGACTATTTGGATATTGATGAATAAACAGTTGTCTATAACTTGTATACACCGTACTTACACGTAGGGAGATACAAAGCATTCATGTATATAGCATCTCAATTGCAGACATACAAAGAAAACTAAAGTAACTTATACTCATATGGGTTAATCCATGAATAATCCAGCTGATAAACACAGGCGTAATAGAAGATAATACACAAACACTAGAGGGTATTTTCACACTAGTGTGTGCACAGCGTTTTGAACACAATAGCAAACATTTAGATGATGTCCACATAGATCCTGTGAGGAAAAAAAAAGGAAGCGTCATAAAATCCTCAAGTGTTTTCGGTATATCCAATCAGGATATGGAGACCAAAATCAGAAAGTTAGTCCTAGACTATTTGGATATTGATGAATAAACAAATGTCTATAACTTGTATACACCGTACTTACACGTAGGGAGATACAAAGCACACTTGAAACACCACGAATTTTCACATATCTTGTGGGAAAGAAAACGAAGCCTCATAAAATCATCCTGAGAGTTGATTGAATGAGAAGGTCAGTGATTTCTTCACTCTATGTCCTCGTCCACCGTAATAGCACACTATGGATTATCTTTTCCCCTACGATAGAGCAGGGAGACTTGAGTACCTTTCTCCTGGATCTTAGTGTGGTAGTTGTACTTCCTGCGAATTTCATAAGCCCTGTTAGCGAGCTTTGTTCTGTACTTTTTCAGCACATCTGGAAGGTCTGTGCGAATGGAAATTTTCCTCTGTCTCAGTAGCTTTGAGTTTTTGTAGCTGGAGTCGTAAATTCGTTGACGGTCGCTTATGCTGACGAATCTTACCATGATAGTTTGTGGTTTATCCGGAGGCGAGTATGACGGGTTGATACGGGGGAGTCTGTGAATTGCGACGAAATTCATTACACTTGCCTCTGGGACGCCCAGATCGTGAAAAAGCTCTCTGCGCGCTTTTTCCGGGTCTTCGTTGTCTGGGACGCTGTATACAAGAAGATTGCTTTTCCTGTTGTAAACTTCTTGTAAGAGTAATTTCTGTTCGATGGCCTTTCTTAAATCTTGTAATTCTTCACGCTGAGCTTGTAATTCGTCCTTATTCTTTTGAATATTGGATGAGTTGAAGTCGACAGTTTTAACTAATTCATTCAGTGTTTGACAAATAGGAGCAAGTTTGTTTTTCAGCGTAGCATGGATTTGCTGAGTTTGTGATTGAAGTAAATCCGTAAAATGGACCTTTATAGTTGTCTCAAGATTTGAAAGTTGCTGCAAATAGGGAATCGAAATGGCCGCTGCCGTGTCGTCATTTCCGTTTTCAGGGGTGGGATTTGTTTTTGGATTTTTTTCATTATTGGTGAAAAAAGAGTCCAAATTTCCTGGCTGCAGTGAAGAAGGAGTATTCGTTTCACTTTTGTTACGATTACTTTTTCTAGTACTGGCCATTTTCAGTTCAGATTGTTTGGATTCACGCGGAGCTCTTGAGAGAGTGTGTTACTCCAAGCGCAGCGCCACCGGAACTGAATATAGAAACTTATTCGATGTCACGTTTCTCTGTAACAATCAAATATTTTAAAATTTATATATCGTTTCGGGATATTATAACCCGCGTTGGTTTCTGAACTGATCACTTAGATTGTTTCAGGTGTTTCACATAGGTGTCAAGTCTCAAAGGTCGGCTGAGAAAACCCATGTGACAATTATTTTCATAACGTCCACGGTTCCTAAATAAAATCCATTGAGTTAGATAACTATGAGCAACCAATCAACGTATTATTGGTTAACCCTTTGAACAAAGTATGTTGTGTTTACATCGGCACTTCACGCCATGATATGAGTGTATTCCCTTTGTTTTAGTAAACTTATACATGTAAACACTTACTTTTGACATATTCACTGTGCAAGATAACAGTGATTAATCAATCAATGTATATTCTGTTAATCCTTTGATGACTAGGAACGATCCGTTGATTTACAAAAAAGTAAATCAACTGATCAATCATCTCTTGCTGGGCTGCCATGTGCATATTACATAACACACATTTTACCTCACTTCAGACCTGGATTTAGATTGAATAATTACCCCATACACAATAAATGCCACATTGGAACCTTTGTCAGGTATTTTGAGTGGTGCTACCACTAATTATACCTGTAATAAATTCATTAACAGAGCATCAAGTGAATGACGACAAATACACAAGTGTAGGGTTATACCAGAAAACGTGGATGACAACAAGGGAGTAGTAATCGTATTGACGCAAACCGAAATCCGAGGATGCTTTCACTGCATGGATACTTTTTTAATATTATAAAGCTATATAACAAAAAGGGGTATTTCCAAATGAGCTCCGCCGTTCTTTTTGTCTGTTTGTTTAGGCTGAAGAAATTAATTAACATGCGCCCTTTGTTAAAATCTTTATGGATCAGGGTTAACCAATCAGTGTTCAAACATGAGTAAAACAAACATTGCCTCCAAGTTTATTTTGCTGTCCTTGCAGATGGTAGCCCAGTCTCTTGTCACGCTGAGTTGCGTTGCGTATCATCCAGGTACTCACAGGGAAAAAACAATAACAAAGGCAACAACCATGCAGTCCTGGGGAATTGCTTTAGATCAGTGCCCCTTTAACTATTTGGCAGATTGGCAAGGACTATAAAATTAGGACTAGTGCCACTTTCTAACCCTGGGCTAAGCAGTCTCGTGAATATGGAAACAGAATGAATGCTCATGGGGTGGTGTGTATCTAGACATGTAACCCAGCAGCATGATCCACTTTAGCCGAGAGCGGCGATGGGTCCTATAGTCAAGACATGACATGTCTAATTGACTGCAGAATCCCATTGCGGCTCTTGGTTAGATCCACTTTTTATTTTTATTTTGTTGGAAAAGTCTCAAAGTCTTATTTCTGTCATGAAGATGGGGGCACGGGTGGCCCAGTCGTCTAAGGCACCTCGATGCGCTGTGCAGAGTTGCGTCCCTTGAGAAACCTATGATTGTGTGTTCGAATCCTGGTTCGCCCCGATTATGTTTCTAGGTTTGTCAGCACCATACCCGTGCTCGTGGGTTTCACCGAAGTGGTTAACGTCTGAGACCTGCATCACTTCGGGCTTTCCTCCCACATTAAGCTGACACGCCATGATATAACTGGAATACTGTTAAAAGCGGCATTAAACCAAACTAACTCACTCACTCACTCTCATGAAGATACCAGATTTATTTGCTCGCAAGGCTGTTTGATGAGTAAACACTATTGGCAATGTGAATGTTGTAAAAACTCTCACAGTACAAAAACATATGTGAGGTGGATGTAAAAACCTTCTAGCGCCCTTGGGCAGCTTGGGTTGTATACTCCACAGGGAGTTGACCATGGTAATTGGAATGCCAAAGTATCAACTGGTCGGGGCACAAATAAAAACACATTTGAGCAGATAATAGTACCTACATACATACATACATACATACATACATACATACATACATACATACATACATACATACATACATACATACATACATACATACATACATACATACTTACATACATACATACTTACATACATACATACATACATACATACATACATACATACATACATACTTACAGTAGTTTTGATGTTAGATTTCCTAGGTTCCGTTAGAAATTGGCATTAGTCCTGTGTAGTCCTTGCCAAACTGTCTAATAGTTAAGGTATCATAAGGACAAGTAGAAATATGTCCTTCTCAATGTAGGTGTATGAAAATAATATAAATAATGATTTCAACTTCCAAATAGTACTGTTGCTAGTGGATACCTCTTTTTTTCTCTGTAGAACTTTGTGATCAATGATTTCCCAATTATTTCACAGAATGTTTTGGGGATATTTTCCAGATTAATGTTGATAACAACCTACATGTCAGTGTGATAGCATACATGGTCTTGAGGCTGTTTCAGTGTTTCACAGGAGATCTCTCTATTATTGAATGCAGAAAATAGGAAAATATTATTTAAGAATTTAGATAGTTTTAAAATTTAACTAATTCTCGAGACTGATATTTCAACTTTCAATGAGTGAGAACTTCGCATATGATGTTCAGATATACATGATAGTATGATAAATGATATTTTGTTTTTTATTTTAGTTTAGTCAGACATGATGATCTATCATTGGTACAAATAACGAATGTGTGAGAACTGAGCGATCATAGAGATAAATTTTTCTTCTGTTTTATCACCAAGAAATATGTAGAATGTATGAATATTTGGTTTAGGAAGCCTACTGACAAGACATGGATGGAATCAGCTAATTAAACATCACCAGTCTTTACTTAGCTGTTGATATCAGGAATGTTCATGTTGTTTATGTTTGTCATTAAAACAAATGTGCACTTTGTCATTGCAGCTATCTGAAATGGTTCCTGGCAGTATGGTCATTTGTGGTTGGCATGGCAGTGACCTATGTGTGTGTCAGTCCCAACACACTGCTGCCAAACCTGTTGCCTATGTACAGCAGGAAGAAAAAGGTGAGGGTTATTATTTTGACATTTCGATAGGATGAATTCATGTTCATGAATATTATTCCATGAGCATACACATGTTAAAGATTGTGCATACACAGGTACCATTTTTGTATATACTATGGCATCATGATGACATTATGAAGATATATAAAAATGCACGGGCCTAAGATTGTGATGTAAGAGGAACTCTGTTAACCATTGTCTCCAGTAAATAATCCCATATGAGAAATTGAAGTATGAGTAGAATTTCCAATGCTACCAAATCAGTTTGATGTGAAACATTTATCCAAGTCATATTTACAGCTGTCCTCCCAGTCTGACGAGCTGACTCTCATGAAGACAGTGTGTACTGTCTGCGGTCAGAGGAAGTGCCCCAGACACAGGTAACACTCTAGTTACATCTCATATTTTGTACTTATCCTGCATTACTCCTTAATGCATATTACTGCTTGTTCCTGACAAAGAGCTGTGTGAAGGTCTTTGCTTGAAGAAGTTGTTCCAACAAGCTGAGAGGCCAGCCCATCACGCAGCTCCCACGTGACCAAAGGAAGTGACGTCACGGATCCTCACATTACTCTTGTCACTTGCTGAGTCAAGACCTGTTTTTTGCTGTAGCATAAACTTGTTCAAACCCTCATGTGTTTGCTATTGGAGATAATGTTTATTGTCTTTGCGTTGTGCCTACAGTTTGTATTGTACATTCTATGTTTTATAAACATGTGCATAACATTTTTTGATACTTACTTTCTCAAAAGAAAACAATGGATAATGCCAGGAGTCTTGTTGTTTCAAGTAGCCATCTTGAATATTTTCCATTGGCGTACCCTCGCAAGTATTTTGTCTTCGTTTGTATGTTGTCTTATGTTTGTTGTTATAATTGTTTCATAAACCCACACAGTGGGATAAACAAATTATAGCATACATAGTGGCTATTACGAGTTATGTGGCTTCTGTGCCTCTCATATGAACCAATCAGATTCCACCTCTCGTATCACTTGCATTTGTTTCAAACAAAACGGCGGCGCCCAAGTCAAGATGATCTGATCGATAATCAAGATCTATATTGTGATAAAACTTGTCTTACATCGCGAAATGCATCAAATCGCGTAAGCACTTTGATTAAAAACATGAAAAGATTTAGAAAAAATCTGTTGACAACGAGTTGCACAAGTGCACATGCTTTGCAAATCCTGCAATCGACCGAAATCTGCTTGATAGTTTACGAACCGGATTTCGATTTCGGTGCGCGATTTTGATTGGACTATGCATAGACTCGTTAGTCCAGCCAAAATGTAACTCCATAATACCAGCCTAGTTCGGCAAGGGTGGAAACTGGACTTTTTTAGTCAGTTAACTCACTTGCCTCGGGAAGATGGAATGTCCCCTCTACCTTTCATTACTCTGTGGACTTTGCTTCCCCAAGTACGGCTTCAGGTCGGAGTGACAGTCGATCATCTCGTCGGGGTCCGCCACCAAGGAGCCGCTTGCCTGTTCAAAGACACTACAGTGGCTATCATTCTGACTCCTTGGAGGGCGCCTTCATCCCTTGTTATGATGACACCCCCTCAGACTTGGCCTAGACCAGGATGCACACTGGTTGGCTGATAGATTGGAGACAGTCAATCCCTCTCCTGGCCAAGAGGTCGATAGCAAGACAGCCATCTGTTTGGATCCTACCTTGATCCCACTGAACCCGCTGACCAGGGACATGATCTCCGCCCTGGATGACTTCAGTAAGCTTTTGCTCACCCCGTCCTTCAGGCCTCCACGCTATATTCGAGGCAAGTACCCAGTCCACTCTCTCCAGGTCGCGGACCACGCTCATACCTTAGATGCACCGCATCACTGGGTCTAACCGCTCCACGTCAGTACGAGTTTCTGACAATAAACTCACCTACATGGAGACCGAGATTCGCCACACTCTCAAGCCTCTCTCACTGATGGCTTTGTCCTCCAGAGCCAATCTTCAGGACTTGTCGGAGGATAACCCTCATAGGATCGACCACCTGACAGCCGTCGTATCCTACCTCCAGCAACAAGTAGAACATATGCACTCCCACATGTGCGTCGCCCTGATTGAGCTCACTACCATGAGGCGCCTGGGCTACCTTGCTCTGTCGGACGGGGACCCAGAGTTCAAGAGAGACCTCCTGCGTCAACCATGGTCCTCCTCTGACCAATTTAACGGACAGATCTCAAAGACACACTCCCGAGTCTCAGTCTTTTCCTGAGACGAGACAGCTCTCAAGGTCCTGGCTAGGGTGTCACAGCCAGCCTTCACTAAGGCGTCCCAGTCTGGCTCATACCAGCCTCGACGCAACACCCTCCAGCCCCAGGGACAGGGTGCCACCTCAACCTCTCAGGGCAGAGGCAGAGGAAAAGGCAAGTCCTTGGTCGCATACCAGTCCCGCCACGGCCACCCCAAGGGAGGTAACGCTGACCACAGGGACTTCAAGTGAATCGCCAGACAGGCACGACTAGGACCTCCCACCCAAGTTGTTGACACTCCAGTAGGTGGAAGACTGGGTCAGTTCTGGCAGAATTGGGAGATCCTGGGGGACCCTTATGTCACCAACATCATCCAACACGGGTACAAGCTGACGCTTATAGACGACCCGTCACTTACGTCGTCCCCCATAGCGGACACCTACCCCCCTACCCCACATTAGCTACTAAGCCAGAACATCACGGCGCTGCTAGACAAGGAAGCAATAGAGGTCATACACGCCCCAGCCATAACATCAGGCTTCTATTCACCTGTCTTCCTAGTCCCCAAGAAGGACTCAGACAAACACAGGATGTTCCACAACCTCGCCGCTTTCAACAAACGCTACCTGGCACGTCCACCTTTTTTCAAAAGAAAAGGATGACCACCCTCAGGCTACTGTGATCCCGGATCCAGGCACAGGATGTACTCATCAGCCTGGATATCGAGGATGCCTACCTACATGTCCCTATACATCTCGACGACCAGAATTTCCTTCGCTTCATCTTCATGGGAGTCCATTATCAATGGGCGGTCTTCCCATTTGGAATTTCTTCGGACCAGTGGCTATTCACACGGCTTACCAAGCCAATAGCCTCTTACCTCCATCTCCGGGACATTCAGTTCGAGGCATACATAGACGCACCTCCTCTCTGTACCCAGAGACTGGTGGGAGCGCATGCAGTTGCACCCGACTCCAGCCCTCCACCTACCACGAAGGACTTGACCTACAGAGGAAGGCTCCAACTGCGCCCAGTTCAGATATTCATGGCTCCCTACATCAGGCGCCAGGACCCCTCGGTATCCATCATCCTCCCAGATCACCTCAAGCAGCATCTCCGGTGGTTGACGGTGGAATCGAATGTCTTAGGCGGCGTCTCCTTGACAGGGTTTATGACCTGTCTGCGCCTATTCGTAGACGCTTCCCTGCAGGGATGGGGTACACACCTGGAGGAACAGGTCGCCTCGGGGCTGTGGTCCGCCGATCAGCGCCTAAGGCATATCAACAACCTCGAACTGGAGGCACTTATCCTGACCATCGCTCATTCAAAGCAGGCCCTCAGACATGCCCGGCTCTCCATCTTGACGGACAACATAACCGTCATATGGTGCCTACAGAACCAGGGAACGACTCACTCGACCTCGCTCCTTCAACAGACGTTCCAATTGTTTCACCTGGTGGAACATCTGGGGGTCCAGTTCCAGGTTCAACACATTCCGGGCTGCCGAAACATCCTAGCTGATGCACTATCTCAGACAGGCAAGGTCACTCCCACAGAGTGGAAACTTCACCAAGAAGCCTTCGCTCTTGTTTGTCGAGACCATGGTCTCCCCAAGAGCCAGAACTACCAGATGCCGACCTACATATCGCCGGTCCCGGATCCCCAGGCTTGGGCTTTCAGCGTCCCCTGGGAAGGATTCAGAGCGTACGCTTTTCCGCCACCTGTACTCCTTCCCAAAGTCGTCCAGAAGATCAGATCGACACAGAACCTTGATCTGACTTTGGTCATGCCCTGGTGGCTGGCGAGGGCTTGGTTCGTCGACCTCAGAGAGCTATCCGATACCAACCCACTCCCAGATTGGCCAAACCTGCTGATCCACCCTCACAGCAGACCGCCACACTCAGGACCAGACAAGTTATATTTTCACGTCTGGTCAATTTACAGAGAGCACTGAACGCCAAAGGCTACTCGGCCAGAGCGGCTAGGGCCATCATGATGGCGCATCGTCCGACCACCAGGAGCCTCTATGATGACTAGTGGCAATCCTTCGAGAGCTTTTGCAGGGGCAAACAACAAGACCCCACATCTGCATCACCTCAATTCCTGTCCGAGTTCATGCACTATCTTCGCTACAAGCGTAAGCTCAAGGGTAGTACCATCACGACCTACCTTGTGGCGTTCAACTCCGTCCTGGCAGTTCCGGAAGATCGGTGCATGATGAAAATCTCAGAACTCCAAGCAGGGAGCACACGGAGCCGTGCATCCTGGACTGTGCTGGGACTGCTTTGCCAAGAATCGATTCCCATGACAGCCAGATAGATCGTTCCTCATCTGGCCCCTATCCTCGATTGTGGGCGCGGAAGATGAACAAGAGCTCCATCTATATCAGGTTAGAGCACTCAGTTGCTACGTCAGACTATCCAAGGAACGCCATAGACAACGACGACGCCTCTTCATACCGGTACCTGCGACCTCGCGAGCGGAAGACAGACGCAACACGATCGCCCTCTGGCTTCGAGCCATCATTCTCCAGGCCTACGAGCCTGTGGGATTGGACCACCCAAGCTCCATCAACCCGCATGAGACCCAGGCGGTTGCCTCCATGATCGCGCTACACAGCAACTGCTCTCTACGTGCCATCTTGGAGGGGTGTTTCTGGCGACCAAACACAATCGTCGCCAGTCACCATATGCGAGACGTCGCATTTTAGGATGTGCAAGGCACACACAGCTTGGTCCATTAGTAGTGGCCCAACAGGTCACCATGACTACACGTCACTACCCTCGCCTCCAGTCCAGATCCGGCATTTCGACCTCCCCTGGCGTAATGCCCTGGACTAGAAGGTTCATGCCCCACTTGCATGCGACTCGGTACTCCAGTCTAAGGCCTTAACTTGAGGGTTATCGTCGATGGCTGCGTAGTACCAGGACACAACGCATACCTGACTCTTCCCTTCCATGTTATGGTCATTGATGCCGACCATACAGCCAAAGACAGGCTGAGGGAACAGAGTCTGGAAAAAAAGATGAAAGTCCACATCTGAAGGTATGCCCATTACCGATTCCGTGGGATAAAGATGCTTTAAGGAGTAATGCAGGATAAGCAAAAATTCTTGTAAAATCCAAGATATTTTTTATATTTGTATATTTATCCTGCATTACTGCGTCTAAAGGGA